GAGGAGGAGGAGGAGGAGGAGGGAGGAGGAGTGAGGCGGAGGTGGCGGAGGAGGAGGAGGAGCAGGATGACGAGGAGGAGGAACATGAGAAAAAGGAGGAGGAGGAGGAAACTGAGAGAAAAGATGATGATGCTGATGATGATGATGATGGAGAATGTCATGATGTGATGATGATGAATCATGATGATGATAGTGATGCTGATGATAATGATCATGATGATTCGGATGATGTTGATGATGCTGATGATATGCTGATGGTGATGATGCTGATGGTGATGATGCTGATGATGATAATGATGATGATGCTGATGATGATGATGATGATGATGATGGTGATGGTGATGGTGATGGTGATGGTGTTGATGGTGATGATGATGATGATGATGATGATGATGAGGAGGAGGAGGAGGAGGATGAGGATGAGGATGAGGAGGAACCCGTCACATCTGACACCTTCCGACTTCATTGCTGCGGAGCTCTCATTGGGGCCGGCTGTGGGGTGTGTTGGCCTCGCGTGGGGCCGCCTGGGGTGTACCAGCGGGGCCGCCTACGGGCCACCCCCTCGCGTTGTGACAAAATCACGACGGGAGGTTTATCATTCTTTTCGGCCTCCGGGGGCCCTTATTGGGCCCCAGGACCGTCAAAAAAGGAGTCAGGATGAAAAACCGGTCCTGGGGAAGGAGTCCAGACCTTTTTGGGTCGACGTTGCGGAAAAGTCACGATGTCGGGGGTCTGGGGTTTTGGCCGTATGGGGGGTGTGGGGGGGCCATCGAGGCGCAGCCTTGGCGCCGTATCCTTCTAAGGCAGGTCTTGGGTCCCTTGGGAGGCCTTTTTCGGCCGGCTCGCATGAAGCTCAGGCCATCGTGGGGCTCTCTTAAGGCCATCTTGGGGCCCTCACGGGGGCTTCTTGGGCTGTCTTTGGTCCATAGCGGAGGCTTCCTGGCCCGTCTTGAGCTAACGGAAACCCGATCATGTTAGAACGCTTGCATTTCTCAAACCATACGACAATCAATGCTTTTGGCTTCGTCGCACCCCGTGAGGGGTCCTCTTGTGTCCCCTCTGGGCTTTCTTGGGGGGGCATCTTGGGCCGTCTTGAGGCCTCATCGGGCCGCCTTGGGGCCATCTTGGGCCGTCTTCGAGGCATCTCGGGCCATCCTGGTTGCCTTGGCTGCCTGCCGGGGCGATCTTGGAAGCTCGGGGCGCGGACACACTTGTTTTTTACGATGGATCGTGACCGTACGAGCGCGGGCCAGAATTCTTTCTTTGGGGTCGTGGCCTCGGGAGGGGGGGATGCACGCCCCACTCTGCCGGCAAAGGTTGGGTGCCCCTTATTTGAATACAGAACCCCGACCAGGCAGCACTCGGCAGTCTGACACGTCCACGCCGAGCAGGCACGGTGGCGGATCATGTCAACAGGGTGGGCCACAGAGCTACCTTTTGGCGGCCGGGGCTCTTCATTTTACGTCACCCTTCTGTTTCGCGCGGCTTCTCAGTGCTACACAAGCGGCTCTAAGCACACGCCTCACCGCGGCTCCGGTATTTGTCCATGTCAGTTCTATATGTGGATGTTGTGCCAAGACGTACCTTCTGAATCGGACATGTGCTGCGCTCTTTCAGGGGATTCGGACCGAAACGATTGCGATCGGAGCAGCAGCCATCCACCACTGACCATACTCCGCTACTCCATCTGTGGATCCTTGCCCGATGCTTTCCGCCCCTCTCCCTACCCCATCCGCTCTCTCCTCCCTTGGCCTCCCTCTTCTCCAGCTTTTCGGTCGACCTTGGGGTTGCCCAAGGTCGGCGGGGCAACGACGAGACATCGTTCGCGCAGGAGCTGCGCAGTCGCTTCAAGATCACCAACTTCGAAGGGTTGAAGGCTGCGATGCGGAGGAAGCAGAGGTGGAAGACGAGGAGGTGGAGGCAGAGGAGGAGGAATTGGAGCGAGGGCTGTGAGGGTTTGCCATCCCCATGGGTGGGAGGGCAGTGTCCAGTCGAATGAGCACCACACGCAAGAACCCCAATCAGTGATCCCCACCCGAAGCTCTGGCATGCATCGTGCTTGCCCGCCCTGGCTGCATGCCGACCGCAGCCTGCCTTGCCGACATAGGTCCGCAGCCTCGCGTCATGCCGAGAAGCGGCGTTCCCATGCAAACGACGGGTAGTTAACTTGTTTTTCTTTGCCTCCCCGATTTGGCAGGATGTTCTAATCTATGCTTTCATTTTCCCGTAGTGCCCCTGTCCCTCAAGTGCTGAGCGGGGATGTCTTGAGTCCTCACTCTTTGTTCTCTACTTTCTACTTTCTCTACACACTCTCTTTCTCTCTGCCTCTCTTTCCGCCTGTGCCCTTCACTATCTCTACCTCTGCCCCCTCTCGGCCTGTTTTTTACTGTTCATCTCTTTCTGTCTCGTTATGTTTATCTCTCGCTCTCTGATTATCTCTCTCTCTCTCTGTGTTGCTCTATTGCTTTCCTTGGTTTCAATCCATAGTGGTTCGTCTCTCTCTCTCTCTCTCTCTCCCTCCCTCCCTCCCTCCCCCACCTCTTTGTTACATATTCGGTTTGTATCCTCTCTCTCTCTCTGTCTCTGTGCCTCTCTGTCTCTGTGCCTCTCCCTCGATTTTTTTTACTGCAAACACACCGAACTGTGTGTATACATATACATATAGAAATGCACATGTATGCATAGGTGTATATATATACACATCTATATATAAGATAAGATGCAGACCTACACATATAATACACATACATATGCATACATGCATGACCATGTATACATATATATATATATACATACATATATCGATGTACACACGTAGTGGCGCACCAGGTCTGGGGGGCCCAGGGCTGGGCCCCCGACCCCAGGGTTGGGGTGGCCACGGGGGGCCCATGATAGCTTTTCGGGCGCTCCAGGAGCGCCCACGATGGCTTCAAGGCTGCCCATGCGGCTGCCAAGAACACCCAGAAGCGCCCCAAAGGCGCCTCAGGACCGCTCAAGGTAACCTCTCGTCGGCTCCATCATCATCATCATCATCATCATCATCAGCATCATCAGCATTATCATCACCATCACCATCATCTGAATTTCTTTTTCAACGATTTTCTCGATCTCGGACTGTCAGAATCGGGGAGAAGTGCTGAGGACGGCGAGGAAGGGGGAGTTGATTATGCTCAGGATATGAGGGGAGAAAGCAAACGAAGGAGGTGGAGGAATGTAAGGATGGCAGATTGGAGAGCGCGAGGAGGACAGGGAGGAGGAGGAGGAGGAGGAGAAGGAGGAGGAGGAGGACTCGGCTCAACAGGGATCGTCTTCCAGAAGGCAGCGTCGACGATGAGGAGCAGGTGGGTTGGATGACGGAAGTATATAGAGCGGAATAGAGGAGGACCAGGATGGGTCTGTGATAGACGGTTTGTGATGATGTTGATGATGATGATGATGTTGCTGCTGCTGATGATGATGATGATGATGATGGTGATGCTGATGGTGATGGTGATGGTGATGGTGATGGTGATGATGACAACGGCGACGACGATTACGATGGTGATGATGATGTTGATGATTAGGATGAGGATGCTGATGATGGTGATGATGATGGTGATGATGATGATGCTGATGATGATGACGATGCTGCTGATGATGATGCTGCTGATGATGATCATGATTATGATGATGGCGGTGGTGAGGATAATGATGCTGAGGATGCTGCTGCTGCTGATGCTGCTGATGACGATGGATGTTAAAACTGCTGTTGATGATGCTGATGATGATGCTGATGATGCTGGCGATGATGGTGATGCCGTTTGATGCTGCCGATGTTGATGCACCTCGCTAGAACCTAAGACCGCGTCAGATCGCCTCAAGACGCCGCCTCTAGGCAGCCCCACATCGCTTCCCAGAGGGGTCAGACAGCCTGTCAGGCGGCGCAGGACTGCTCCAAGTCACCTCTCCTCCGGGGTCTCTGACGGCTCCGGACAGCTTTCAGACTTCTCGAGAGAATGACCAGCGATGGGAACCATATTCGAGGTGTGCAGTTTTACAATGAAGCACGGAAGACTTCGACATTCCTGCGAGAAATGTGTTCCGCAGGAGGAGCCGATATTGATGAGGGCCACGCTTTGAATAGCCTGGTTCAGGATGGGACAGCCCAGCTACACGAAGGTTTGACTGTTGACACGTTACAGTTCGACGAAGATGGTATTTCCACGTACGTGGTAGAAGAAAGGCATCGCAAATTTGGTTTCTCTCGGAAGAAAAGTGAACCAGCGAGAAATCTCACATGATGGGACACACGATGAGAGTTTGCCTGATTCGATATTTGGGGAGACCTCGGTTCTACTGCATTATGGACGCACATTGAAAGCTGAGGAACTCAAGTAAGAGATACCAGCGCAGTGTGAATTAACACATGTACAACACGTGTTGTGAGATTGGTCGTTTCTTGGTTTGTTTTCGCAATTGCCGAACGATCAGTCCACGTTGTCTGGCGTGTGACTCGGCGCGCGTTTGGCGAGTCGAAAGAGAGTAATTGTTTCACGCTGCGCTTAAGTCGGGCTTGTCCCCCTACAGGAGGAAGATTGAAAGATTGTCAACACCAGTCTGAGGACGTTTTTTTCGATTATATTTGATTTGTTTCGAACACTTTTTGAGTGCGTTAGATTTTTCGTCCAAAATCCGCCTGTAGGGGGACATGCCCGACCTCAGGCTACGCCGCCTTCCACTGTGCTCGCTGTCGCCTTCCGAGGCACCCCGTCAACTTCATCTCCCTGCCCGCCCCTCCCCCCCTGGTCGGGTCCCCCCGCTGCTTGGCGGGCTCCTCGGCTGCCTCGGTGCCCTTCCCTGCTTGGTGCTCTGCTCGCCCTCGCCCCCTTTCAGGGCCCGATTCGATTCGATTTGATTTCGACGGTTTCCGATTCCGATTCGATTCGACTTGGGATTCCGATTTGGGTTCGGATTTGTCATTGGAGGCATAGTCGCCTGCCGATTTCCGCCGATTCGACTTTTCCCGACTCGGCTGCCGATTTTCGCCGATCCGATTCATTCGATCGCCGATCCGACTTGCCGATTCGATTCTGGGCTCTCCGAACCCTTTTCTCGGGGTAGGCCCCGCCATGCATCAGGGGGAGGAAGACGCCATCCGGACCCGACGCGCGGCGTCTACTTGGAGGCCCTGGGCGCTTGCTAGGCAGCCCTGCCCTGGTCGATTCTTTCCTTGGGTGCGTTTGTTCAGCGGCTTCGCGCGTCGGGGTGGTTATTGTGAGGGTGGATTCTCTGCTCCTCCGATTCCGCTGGTCGTCTCGTCCCGCCCTGCGTCCGCGGCCCACCCGCTGCTTCCTTGGCGGGGGCGGTCGCAGGGCCTCGCCCCTTCCTGCCTTGGCCTCCCTTCTCTTCCCCCCACGTGTTGCCCTGGCCTTTCTCCCCGCCCCCTTCGCCTCCTCTTGGCCGTCCCCCCGGGTACGAGAGCGTCCAGGTGCCGCCTCTGTGGACGGGGTGGGTGAGCAAGGGCGCCCTCGAGGGCGCGAAGTTGTTCGCGCTTCGCGGTTCGGCCCCGATTCCTCCTCATCCTCCTCTTCTCCCCTGGAAGGCGGCGCGAGAGCGCGAAGTTATTCGCACTTCGCGTTTCGCGCAGCGCGAAGCGCGAAGTTGGGAGCCCTTGGTGAGGGTGGGGGGAGGGCGCCTCTGCGCACGGTGTCTCTGGACGCCCTCCTCCTCGCGTTGGCCCTGTGGACGACCTGCGGTGGCACGCCCCCGGTACAAATCACTAAACCAGGTTCCACTAAACCCAGTTCTGCCAACGCGCGATAGAGGGCACGGGGGCAGGTACAAAATCCCGCTTCGCAGCGGACAGGGGGTCACATCCTGCAGCTGCCCTCCAGGGATCCGGGTCTCTCAGGATTCCCCCCCTTGGCGGATAGAAAAGGACTTATCCCAATGGGTAGGGATGGGTGCGAGAGGAATGGATGGGCGGAACGGGTACGTTGTCAGATGTGGCGCGAGCGCACGTAGCTTGCCTCGACCCGCTTTTTCCTCTCCGCCTCGCCCTCCGCCTCCGCCTGATGCTTCCCTCCCCTTATCTGCATCTGCCATCCTCTCCCTCAGACCCTCTTGCTTGATCGATGTCCTTCATAATGTCCCCAAGAGCGCTCCCAAGGCCCCCAAGAGCGCCTCAAGAGGGCCCCCCAAGAGGCGCCCAGGCCTCCTCCTCGCGCTCGTCCTTCTCCCGCCGTTCCCGTTCCCCCCAGGGCTCTATCCCCCTCCGTCGGCGTCCTTATCCGGCACTTCCTCTTGCCCCGTTTCCATACCCGACCATGCCCAGGCGCTTCTGGATGATGACGGCCGCGCGGAAGCCTTCCTCACGGACCTGGGCATGACCCCGCTGAAGATTAGTCAGGTGCTCGGGAGTGGTCAGGAAGTGTGGGCATGGAGCGAGATATGATGGCGTAGGGCATTTCACTCCCTCACTTCGTTGTAGGATGAGGCGGATCTGTGGTCAGTGGTGTTGGGGAGGATAAGGACGACGATGGGGCGGGGGGGGGGGAGCTGGGGGCGTTTGGGTTGCTGGTTGTTTGCAAAGCTTCGGGATGCATCCCACACGTGTCAGACTGATGTCGATCCTGGCTGGGTGTTCTCCTCGCGGCGATTGAGCAAGAGCCGCGTGATCCGCTCTGCCGCTTTACCAGTCGTGCTGTCGTATCAAGGTCAATCATCGTTCCTCTTCCTGCTGCTCTTCTCAAAGAGGTGCTGGCGGCAGGCCGAGATGGTGCTGCTGCCTGGGAGGACCGGCGAACGGATGGGCAGCGTGCGGGTCGGCCAGGGGTGGGACGGACGCACGATGCTGACGATGGTGAAACTGACGACGATGAGGATGTTAAGGGTTTCAGGAGGCTAGCACAATGACACAGACACAACGAATCTTCGATTCCAAGAAAGATATGGAAAATATGAGAAGTGGAGAGGAAGACGAACATCCAGGAAGTATGGCAAATATGGGGAATCCTGGGATTTGTGTCTAATCATTTGTGTGTCCCTGGGCCCCTTCAGGGTCGTGAGAGGGCGACGATGGGGAGGACCGGGAGGGGGCAGGGCAAGGACGAGGAGGAGGAGGAAGAGGAAGAGGAGGAGGAGGAGGAGGAGGAGGACGAGGAGGAATAATAATAATAGGATTGTTGCAGGAGGACGTGCGTAAACCGTGAGGGCCCTTGCCTGCCACTGGCCTCCCGCTGGACTGTCTGGACATCCTCAGCAGGACGTGCGTAAACCGTGAGGGTCGCGCTTCTTCCCCAGTGCGTTAGCAAGGCGGCTCACGATGCAGCACCCACGATGTGCTGAGCCGAGCGCAGCACCTGCGTGCCAGGCTGTCCTCGCAGCACGGCGCCGCGCTGGGCCTCGGCGTGGGGAAACTGCGGGGGCAGGCGGCAGGGCAAGCGCCCTCGCCCACCCCCTCCCCGCCCCTCGCTTTTGCCACGGGGCTGGGCCTCCATTTGCCGGGGAGGGCGGCGGTGGCTGCTAGTGTACCCCCTTGGTTCTCGGGTTGAGATCGGCGGCGAGCGAGGGGGTGAGGTGAGAAGGGGCGGACCTTCTCAGCAGGCTCGGAAGCCCCCCTGGCCTCTGAGAAGTGTTCTGAGCCCTCCCCGAGGACACACACAACTCTTCAGAAGGCACGAGGGCTTCTAAGACGTCCCGCCGCCTTCTGAGAAGGCCTCCTCCTTCCCACTTCCCCCCCCTCGCTCGCCGCCGATGCCAGTGTGCCCCCTTGGCTCTCGTGCTGAGAGCCCTCAGCATGACGGCGCGCAGACTTCTGTGCAAATCCCGTGTCCGACCGTCCAGCCCCCCGTGTTTGCCTCCCCGTCCCCCTCCCCCAACGCATTGCATGTGCCCACGCACTGCTGAATCCAGAGGCAGCGGCCAGCGGCCTCCCGCGCGTGGTCTGTGCGAGGCCAAGGCGGTTGTGCGCAGCGGTGCCCGTGTCGCATCGTTTCCCCCACCCCTCCCCCGTTCCGCTTCTCTCCTGTCGACTACAGAGTTGATTTACCCCAAACATTTCTCCTCGAGCCCACCATACAATGATACCGGAGAAACAACTCAATCAGATTTTCGTTGGGGCAATGGGGCTATATGAGCTACATGGCTATATGGGGTATAGTGCTAGAGGGCTATCGGGCTATAGGGGCTATAGGACTATAGGGCTATAGGGCTATAGGGCTATATGGCTATAGAGCTATAGGGCTGTAGGACTATAGGGCTCTAGAGCTATAGGGCTCTAGGGCTCTAGGGCTATAGGGCCATAGAGCTATAGGGCTATAGTGCTATAGGGCTATAGGGCTATAAGGCTATCAGGCTATATGGGCTATACGGGCTATTGGGCTATTGGGCTATTGGGCTATAGAGCTATAAGGCTATAGGGCTATATGGCTATAGGGTACCAGGGGACCCCCGGGCACCTCGGGGCACCCCCGAGCACCTGGGCACCTGGGCACCCACGGGCAACCGGGCACCCGGGCACCCGGCCACCGGCCACCGAAATCTTGGGGCACCGGGCACCCCCGGGCATCCCCGGGCACCCGGGCACCCGGCCGCCGGCCACCAAATCGGCGCCGCACCTCATTTAACCATATGAATCCGCTTGGACCCCTACAGAGGCAAGCTCCTATTGGTGAAATGTATGATGATAGCAGCTATGCGAATCTTGTATATCTATACACATAGTTTCGACGTGGTCATGTGAACAGTCTACGTATTTTCTTAGATTCGACGAACATCGAATCTGGGAAACCTCTTGATCGGTTTTCGGAGGTCGCCGCGGCGATCGTGTCGGTTAACGTTCGGGGTAAGTTTTTTGTCCAGAGGTGGCATGCCCCCTCGCAGCCCCGCGCCCCCTCCTCCGCGATGCAGGCCTGGCTCATCATGCATAGTGTAGCGACAAAGAGCTGCCAGTCGATGTCCATCGTGGGCAGTTCTGTTTTTTGGGGGTCACGGGGTCGACTCTTACGCAGCCCTCCCGCCTCCAGGCCTCCGGTGACCTCCAGGCGGTTTGCGCCGTGCGCTGCGCTCCGGTGGAGCCGCCGCGTCCCGTCGCGGTCGCCCTGCTCCGCATGGCCGGGGCGCGTCCCTGAGCAGCCCGAAGGTGTTGCCCGGACGCTCCCCCTCCCCCCCACCCGCCCAGGACGCTGTTCTGCGCAGCCCGCTCGCTCTTCTCTCCTCCCCATCATGTTCCCTCCTCCCTCCCGAATCACCCGTCTCGGGGTGGTGCCTCCACCTTCACCTCTCGTTCCTCCTCATCGTCATCGTCACCATCATCAAGATCATCATCAGCATCATCATCATCCTCATCATCCTTATCATCACCATCACCATCACCATCACAATCGCCATTGCCATCACCATCGCCATCATCATCAGTACCATCCTCGCCATCATCATCATCATAATCATCAGCATCATCACCATCAGGCACAACCACCACCATCACCCCCACCACCCCCACCACCATCATCATCATCATCATCATCGTCATCATCATATCCATCCTTATTATCATCATCGCCATCATCATCGGCATCATCATCAACATCCTTATCATCATGATCAGCATCATCATCATCATCATCCTTATCATCATGATCAGCATCATCATCATCATCGTCATCGTCATCGTCATCGTCATCACCATCATCGTCATCACCATCATCATTATCATCATCATCATCATCATCATCATCATCACCATCATCACCATAACCACCACCATCACCATCACCACCACCCCCGCCGCGTCCCCCGTCGCAGCGAGTGCACTCCCTCCACCCAACCAGGATCCAGTGCCGCCCGGGGCGCCTGGCGTTGACCTGCCCAAGGAGGGCGTGGGGGCGCCGCCCCGGCGGCAGAGGGCGCGCGACCGCTGGGTCGCCAGGAGCGCCGAAAGAAGGGGTACGTCGATGACGATGATGGTGATGTTGACGAATGCGATGATGCTGATGATGATGCTGATGATGATGCTGATGATAATGCTGATGATGATGCTGATGATGATGATGATTACCGTGATGATGATTGTGACGATCATGAAGATGAGTACAATGATGATGCCGATGATCATGATGATGCGTCTCATGAGGCGCCTGGTCATGATGATCATGCTGATGATGAGGATCTTGATGCGACGATGGCGGTGACGGTGGTGATGACCATGCTGATGATGATGACGATGGTGGTGGCGTTGATGATAATGATGCTGGTCATGATCTTGATGATACGGATGCTTATGTTGATCATGTTGTGGATTAAGGTAATGATGGTAGTGATTGTGATACTGGTAATGATGACGACGATGATGGTGATGATGGTGGTGGTGATGATGTTGGTGAGGATGAGGCGCACATTGATGATGACGACGATGAGGATGATGACGATGATGGTGATGATGGTGATGGGGATGTGAATGTTGATGATGGGGATTATGGTGGTGGTTACGATGCTGAAGACACTCCTGCTCTTGTTGATGATGATGATGATGATGATGATGATGATGATGATGCTGGTGATGCTGGTGATGATCATGACAATCCTGTCAAGGATAGTGTTGCTAGTGATCATGATGAGGGCGCGGTGGATGATGATGCTGATGATGGCGGCATGGAGATAATGGTGATGATTCTGATGTTGTTGCTGCTGATGGTGTCTATGATGCTGCAGAATATCATCATGGAATGTGCGATGGTTGTGGGCATGATGATGAGTATCATGCTGATGGTGATTCTGACGATTATGAGCATACTTAAGATGCTGATGAGCATGATGAGGCGTCTCAGGAGGAGTCTGAGCATGACGATCATAATGATGGCGATACTGTTGATGTGACGATTGGGGTGACGGTGATGATGATAATAATGACAATGATGAGAGTATTGGTAATGATGATGGCGCTGGTAATCACGATGGTTATGCTGGTGTTGATTATCTTGATAGTGATGGGGATGCGGAGGATGGTCGTATCGGTGCGTATGCTGATCATGCTGATAATGGATATGATGATGGTGCTGATGGTGGCCATGGTGATTATGATGACGGTGAGGGTGATGATGGTGATGACGCCGCTCATGATGATGACTGATATGCTGGAGGAGGGTTGGACGGATGATGATGATACTGGTGGTATTGTTCATGCTGATGATGCAACGGATGTGGATATTGATGATAATGGTAACGACGTTGATAACGGTGCTCATGTTGATGATGATGTTGATGATGGTGGTGGTGGTGGTGGCGATGATGATGATCATGATGTTCACCATGATGGTGAGGGTGATCATGATGACGTTGCTAATCATGGTAAGTATGGTCATGATGGGAATGGTGATGAGGATTACGATCGTGACGATGATGGTGATGTTGATGATCTGGATGATCGTGAACCTTTTGATGACGGTGCTCATGATATGGGCGTCGACCATGATGAATGATCATGCATTTGATGATGACCGTGATGATGATGGTGATGATGATGCTGATGCTGATGCTGGTCATCATCGTACTGGTTATGCCAATATTGATGACTGCGGTGCTGGTGATGCTGCTGGTGATGAATTTGATGACGATGATTGTGAAGATGGTGGCGATCATGATGATGATGCTGAAGATGCGGACGATTGAATGATGCTGACGATGCTGATGGTTGTGGTGGTGATGGCGACAGGTGACAATGATGGTAATGACGACGGCGACAACGAGTATGATCATGATGATGGGCATGCTGGTGACGATGATGATGATGATGATGATGATGATGATGATGATGATGATGATGAGGAGGAGGAGGAGGAGGAGGAGGAGGAGGCGGAGGAAGATGAGGAGGATGTTGTTGATGATGCTGGTGGGGAGGAGGCTTAATATGGAAGAGTAAAGCAGGGGGTAGAGTTTATGTTGCAGTTGATGCCCAGTATGGGCCCTCAGGGTAGGAGTGAGGAGGAGGGGGAGGAGGAGCTGGAGGAGGGGGAGGAGGAAGGCGAGGGAGGAGGAGGCTGGAGGACGATGGGGGATGAGGAGAAGGAGGAGGTTGAGGCGGGCTTGCGCCCTCGTTGTATAGCATTCCTTTGATCTCCAAGCATTCCTGTGAACTTCAAGGATCGGTATGGCAGGAGGACGAGAGGGAGGGTCGAGGATGGAGGAGGGGGAAGAGGAGGAGCAGACACCTCGAGGGGCCCAACTGGGCCCTGCCCAGTCTTGGGGTCCTCGGTCGTCGATCTGCTGGCGCGCGGGCTTCTGCCGCCCTCCTCCCCTGGTTCCCCAGCGTCGCTTGGTGCGCGCGGGCTTATGCCCCCTCGTCCTCCTCCAATCTGCTCTTTCGTCCTCCTTCTCCCTCCTCCGCCGCCTCCTCCTCCTCCTCCTCCTCCTCCTCCTCCTCCTCCTCCTCCTCCTCCTCCCCCCTCCCGTCGCAACTGCACTGTCGGTTCGTGATCCAGTCCACGGTTCCCAGCCTGAGTTTGCCCCTTGCAGGTGGGCTGGAGCGTTTTTTTTCCTTGTGTGCCCTGCGACCTTTGGGTTCGCGATTCGGCGGTGTCGTCCGTGTGTGTGTGTGTGTGTTTGCGTGGGGGAAAAGTAGTCGATCTGTCGGCGACGCATCCTCCACTGCAGACCGATGCCCCCAGCTCCCCTCGCAGGTCGGCCCTCGTTCGCCGCCCCCCCCCCCCCCCGGCCCAGGTGGAGGCGATGAGCACCATCCGCGCGGCGAGCTCCGCCCAGGACAGCCCGAGCTCTGCAGCCTGAAAAACCTTACGTCGGGTCTGTCCCTCCACAGTCCTAGGAGGAGTCTTCAAGCATAGTTAAAGCATCGCCTGGGAAAGTTGGTTTGATTGTGGTTTGAGTTTTTTTGTTGTGTATTCGTTTTTGGTTCTTTCTCATTTTCCATCGCAAATCCGCCTGTAGGCGGACATGCCCGATCTAAAAAATAGCTATCGGAGGCGAGTCCAGGGGCTGCCCAGGGGGTGGGGGGCGTGACATTTGAACGGCGAAACTCAAATGCTATATGTTTGTTTTGCTTTCTTTTTTTTGTTCCTTACCCGTTGCGTGTTTCCATCCACGGTTGATCTTGCGCTCCCAGTCGGCGAACAAGAGGACAGCATGGCGATGCGATTAAACGGGGGTGGGAGAGGGGGGCGGAAGGACGCATCAACTTTTGTTTTGTTTCTGGCATGTGGCTCGATCTCGTCATCATGCTATTCATGACGATTGGGGTACTCTTAGGAATCGTGTGCGTGCACGGCGAATCAGTGCCGCCCCCTGCCTTTTGGAAACGCCTTTGCGGCCAAACGTTGGGCCGACGTCTTGCGCAACTATTTGGCTATGTGTTCCCCCAGCGGTTGTGGACCCCTTTTTGGGGAGCACTTGGGCGAGGAATGGCGAGGGACAGGAAAAGGAGCAGGAGGGGGGGGGAACCGAGCAGGACGAGGCAACAGAAACACCTTGACGCCCTCTTGAAGTTTCCTGGGAATTTCCTGGAGGCCTGTTTGGGGCTTCTTGGGGGCACATTGGGGCCTTTTGAGGCCTCTTTGGGCCCTCCTGGGCCTCTCGGGGGGCCCTCTCTGGGCCTTTTGGTCCAGCTTGCCCTTTGGGGGCTTCGTTGGGCCCTCTTGGGGATTTTGGAGGCCTCTAGGGCGGTGTTGTGGCAATTTTGGGGTGGCCTATGTCGCCGCCGTGGAGCCTTGGACGCCCGAAACATCGGGAACGCTAAAGCCAATGCAAAACTCATGGAAGATCCGTGATGTTGGTGTTTGGAGGTTCCATTGGTGCCCTCTTTGGGCCCTTGTGCGCCGCCTGGGCGCCTCCCGGGGCACCTGAAACAAAAAACATCTTGGACCGTTTTAGAGCCATGTGGGCCGTCTTGGACGTTTTGTGTTTTTTTGTCGGACAGTTGTCGAGGCCATCTTAGCCGTCTTGTCCATCATGTGGCCATTTTGCGCGAGAAGTCTGATGGGGGACGCAATGCTCATTGGGCGGCGGATCGGAGACGCCGGTGGCGAATTGCCGCCGCCCATTGTTCTTTGAAAACGGCTTTGTGGCCAAGCGTGGGGCAACATGCTTGCGAAGCTATTGGTTTATATGTCCCACCAGCCGTTGTGAAACTCATTGGGAGAACACCTCGGGGAGGAATATAAGGGACGAGGAGGTGAGGGAGGAGGAGGGGGGGAAAGGAGGAGGAAGACAGGGAAGGGAAGGAGGAGGAGGAGGAGGAAAAGGAAAAGGAAGAGGAAGAGGAGGAATAATAATGTTAATACTACTTAGAAGAAAACTAATAACAACAGGTGTATTCATAATATTACTCATAACCCGTAAGAACAACATTTGTATTCAGAATAGTACTACTACTAAATAAGAAACCACGAATAAGAATGTGAATACGAATTATACTACGATTGGTACTAATGACAACAATAAGAATGATACTAGTGTTAATATAAATAAGGAACATACTAATAATAAGAGTACTATAATAAAGATGATACTAATTATATTACTGATAAGCAGAATATTAATACTAAGCATGGGGAGGCGGTGGTGGAGGTGATGGAGGAGGTGGAGGAAAGGGAGGAGGCGGAGGAGGCGGAGGCGGGGGCGCAGAAGGAGGAGGGGGAGGAGGCAGAGGCGGAGGCGGAGGAGGAGGAGGAGGAGAAACATGAACAGAAGGCCTCCAGAAGCTCTCGTGGGGCCTCTTGGGGGCCTTCAGGGAGCTTCGCGGGGACCTTCGAGTAGCCTCTTGTGGGCCTCGGGCCTCTCGAGGGGCCTCCATGAGGCCTCTCGAGAACCTCGGGGGACCTCTACTGGGCCTCGTGCCCCTCCTCCGCCTCCTCCTCCTCCTCCTCCTCCCCCTCCTCCCCCTCCTCCCTCCTCCTCCTCCTCCTCCTCCTCCTCCTCCTCCTCCGCCTCGTGGCCCTTGGGCCGTCGTGGGTCCCTCCGTGGGCGCTGTAGGTCCATCTTGGAGGTCGATGGGGCTGCCTCGGGGCCGGCTTGGGGGGCCGCGTGGGCCGACTTGCGGGCCCTTTGGGGGCCACTTCGGGCCGTTCTGGGGTGATCTTGGGGGCCTTCGGGGCCGTCGTCGAGCGTCGGGAGTACCTCTTTCTTGTCCTTCTCCTCCTCCGTTTCCTTCGCTTCGGTATTATCGTCGTCCCCATCTGTGCTGTGCCGTGTCACCCTGGGGTCTTCGATGGTCGATGCCAACAACTCCGTCTTGTCGTCCCCTTCTTCGCCCAGATTCTCCAGTATTTCTCTAGTTGGCCTATTGGGGCATCATCTCCAGTGCGCCAGCTTGATTGTGCCCGCCCAGGGCGCAGCTGCTGCGCTTGGTCTGGACCTCGCGTTGGCCTCGGCTGTCTGGGGAGACGGACCTGATGCGGAATTGGTTCTTCGGCAGCGTATAATGTGACGGAGCCCCCGCATTCTTGTGTCTCCATGGTTTGCTATTCGATTATCTTCTCCATTCTTGGGCCCCTGGTCGTCGTCCTCCTACCGCGGGAGAGGGGGGCACGATAGCGGCATGTGCCCAGTGTCGAGAAGACGTGTTGCGGGCATGCGGTGGCATAGACGAGCATGGGGAGCGGTGGTCATTCCATTCTCCGAGGGTCCCACGGCTCTGAAGCCTATTGGTGGCGATATGTTACTATTTGTTTATCGCGGTCGCCCAGCGGCGCGCCAGCACCCGACGCGTTGTGACAACCCCGCCATGCCGATGCAGTTTCTCCAGTATGGTACGTAAGAGCCCCTGAGTGTAAGCATGTTTTTTCGGGAGAGACTTTGGCATCTAAGTCGGCGGAGAGGGATGCGCGCAGACCTGTATCGTCTTCATGCACACGTAGGCTTGTACATATTAATTATACTTTGTAGTACATTCAAAGGGGGAGGGGAGAGAGAGAGAGAGAGAGAGAGCGAGACAGCGAAACAGAGAGAGATAGCGAGAGAGCGAGAGAAAACGAGAGAGACAATAATCAATGACGAGAAAGAGAGAGAGAGCGAGAGAGAGAGAGATAGAGAAAGCGAGAGGTGAGAGGTGAGAGGTGAGAGAGATAGGGAACTCGAGAGAGAGAAAGAGAGGGAGCGAGAAGGATAATGGATGGTGAGAGGAGAAACGAGGACATGGGGTGAGGAGGGAGGACGAACAGGGATCGGAGGTGATGGAGGAAGAGCAGCACGCGGATGAGGATGAGGAAAGACGATGAGGAGGACCAGCAGCAGCAGGAGCAGGAATAGGATGGGGAAAACGAAGGATGGGACAGGAGGGGGTTGGCATCGGCGAGGATGGAGTCGGATCCAGAACTATGGCCCGCGCTGGGGCTGTATCACCGTTCTGAATGACGGGAGCATCGCGCTGATCCTGAAATGAGGCAAACGTTGCAGCGGGAATACAATCGTGAAATCAACAAACCATCCCGAAGGAAATTGGCATGATAACAACAGATGTTGAAATCCTGCGTGCCACGACGGGAGAGTCAGGGACGACATAAGAGAGAGGGAGAGAGAAAACAAACAAAAACAAGAGGGAACATCAAACAAGAACGAGAGAGAAGCCGTGCACGTCAGAGGTGCACTGGCAGAAAAATGGTGAGGCACGCTCCACCGCCAATGGCGCGGTCGAACAGTGAGACGGGACACACGAGCCACCACGACGACAAGAAAGCGAGGGGGGCGGAGGAGAAAGAAACCGAGCAAAAAACAATGGCAGCCTCACATCTCGCGTTCTTTGTCCAGTCCCTGTGAGTGGCTCTGCCACCACTCCCATGGGCAAAGAGCTTCCGTTGCTGGATCTGGTGATGTCCCAGAGGCTCCTCTCTAATTCTGGTGATGCCCGAGTCCCTGTGAGAGGCTCTGGAGGCGGGTGTTGAAGGAGGACGGGGGATGAGGAGGAACAGCAGGAGGAGGAGGCAGAGGAGGAGGAGTAGCAGGTGGAGGAGGAGTAGGAGGAGGCGGAAGATGAAGGCGGAGGCAGTCAGAGGAGGAGGAATAAGAGGGGACGGTGGCGACCGAGGTAACTGCGGACCAGCGGGCGCTGAAGAGACTGCTGGATGCGAGCGGGCGGCTTGCGCCAGCGCTGCGAGAGCTGCGCGAGAAGGCGGTGGACCGCGTGGTGCTGGAGGACCGTGCCCACTGCGGAGGTGGTTGACAGGAAACTCCTGCCCCTCCCCACGGGAGGGCAGGGGGGGAAGATGCAGGGAGAAGGGGGGATGATGGAGGAGAAGAGCAGGCTATGGAGGGGAAGGGAGGGGGGCGTGCTTTCCAGCCACCATCCCTCTCAGCCGTTCGCAACAACACAATCTAAAGACTGCTCTTCTCTCTCCCATCATTCTGCCTAGGCGATCTCCGGCCCCCTTCCGCTTGTATTTCACATCGGATTGGGCCGTGTGCGTGCTCCATATGTGCTTTATATTCCAATAGTTCCCAGTGTTTCAAAACGGTGCTCCCGCTGAAACGTGGGCTTAATTTTCGTGTCGGTGCTTTGCTCCTGTCGTTCAGAATAGCGCTCTCGCCCAGGCGCGGGCCTCTTTCTGGATCCGAGTCTTTTTTCATCGTCGACGCCCCCCTCATTTCCCTTCCTCCTCCGCCTTCCCCTGGTCCTCCTGCTCCTCCCACTCCTTCCACTCCAGTCCCTGCTACTGCTGTTCGTCCTCGTTCTTGTCCTCATCCTTCCTCATCCTCCCCATTTTCCTGTTGCTCGTCCTCCTGCTCACCCGCCGCCGCCGCCGCCTCCTCCTCCTCCACCTCCACCTCCACCTCCTCCTCCTATGCACGCAGCTCCCCTTTTCCGATTGCGCATAACATGATGGTCTCTTTTTTGAAGTCCAGGTCGGCCATGACACGCGTCCGCGGACAGCGAACAAAAACAGAGCAGTGGGAAGTGACACAGTGGAGGCCCATGTCGAAAAACATCCTGTTTGCCTCCATGGTGCCCCTGGAGTTCTTGGGTTTCAATGGTTCTGCCATGGCAAGCGTGACGCCCCCACACCAAACATCGAGGGACGTCCTGGGGTCTCAGGGTTGGGTTTCTTGTCGAAGGCTTCTTGCGGACTGGCCCCCCTGCAGGAGGCAGCGACACACGCTGGTCTTTGAAAGTAGGTATTTTTGGATTCCCAGATCCCAATCTACTTCAAGCGCCTTCCTACTTCAAGAATCGGCATGCTTTTGCTGTGTCTTGTTATTCTCTGGGAGGACCTGGACCCAACCCACCACATCCGCCTTCCGACCGACGTGTGGGACTTCAGATGTGGCGCGAGCGCACCAGGCCCGTGCCTCCTTGCTTCTGCTCCCTCTGGTCGGGATCTCCGGCCGCCTGGGGCCTCTCTGCTGTCGGGAGCGGCAAAGAGGGGGGTGATGACCAGGGGGGGGCGGATATTTCATGGCGCGAGCCACGAGTTTTCCTCAGACCTCATGGCGCCTCTTCTTATTTCATGACGTCCCTGGCCCCCCCCCCTTGGGCCGCGCACGTGCCGCCGGCCAGGATTTGCACTCCCCCCTCTTGGCCGCCGCCCCCGATCCTGCGAGGTTGCCGAGGCCTCCGTCGGAGGCCGTGGTGGGCCTTCCGGGGCCCCTCGCGGCCCGCGGAGGCCCTCCTGCGACCTCCGGTGCTCAGACGAGGAAGGCACCCATGGCCTACCCTTCCCTGCTTTTTTCCTTTTGGGGGGGGGGCCTCCCGGGCAGCCCTCGTCCACACCGCTGGATCCGCCTCGAAGTCCCGGTGAGAACGCACCCTTGGAGAGGTCCGGGAGGAGTAGCGGTACATCGGCATTTTTTGGTTTCCCCCTGGCGTTTTGCGGTTTTCTTGGGGGACTCGGGGGATCTTGGAATTCGTGGCGGGCGGATGTAGCTTCGGGAAGGGAGCCTCGTTCTCTCTGGCTTTGTTGGGTTGTTCTGGGGGCTCTCCTTGGCGCTTCTAGCCATGTTGAGCCGCGCAGCCGGACAGGTAAAACGCAAAATCGTGTGTGGACAAGTAGCGCACAGTCCAGACGCTAAAATAAGGACCGCTTTGGGCTCAGGAGGGGCTGCGTTTTCCACGGGCCGCTCCCTAGATCTGTGTCGTGGAACCTATTCGTGGCCTAGATCCGCCGTTGCCAGAAGCGCCCCTTCGTTCCTTCCTCCTGCGTTCCTCGTAGTAGCACGACGGCTGCAGCATATTTTGACAGTTCCGGACGTCCAGGGGCTCTCAGCGAGCGTCTCAGGGCCTGCCTCGGAAGCCCTGGTGGGCCTCCTCGGGTCCCTTGGGGCCCCCTCTTTCAGGAGGGAAAGAAGCACACAGACAAAATTCATCGTCGACTCCCAGAAACATACGGGGACAAACGGGAAGTAGGGGGAAGACGAAAACCAAAAACATGTAGGAACATATGGGGAATGTTGGGATTTGTGTGTATTTATTTGTGTGTTCCTGGGCTCCTTTACTCTTGGCACCTTCCGAGGGCCTCGTGTGCGTTTTTGGAGGACTGCTCCGGCTACGGTCGGACCGAGGTATGAGATCGAGGTCAGTTCAGGGAAGGTGCTCTCATGTTCTCCGTGCTTGTGGAACGTTCTTTTGCATCCTGGGGGAATGCACCCTCGAATTTTATTTACTTTTGCCGGCGGAGGGTCCCCTGTTCTTGAAGGATGCTCTGCTGTCCCAGGTTCGGGCGTGCTTTGGGGGATCTCGGGTTCGTGTTGAAAGGGTTCTTCTGACGCGGCACGCCCCAGCAGCGCTCAGTAATCAAACCACAGTACTCTGCACTCGTGTATATATATATATATATATACTTTTATATGTATGTATATATATATATGTATGTATATATATACACATATATATATATATACATTTCGAAGTAGGCCTGGGGGCGGGGGTGAGGGCGCCACCGGTTGTTGGCATGGCCGCCCAGGGTGTCCTGTGGCGTCCACGATCCCGCCCAAGACGGCCCAAGAGGCCCCAAAGACAGCCCAAGAAACCCACAAGACAGCTCCAGCCAGGCCCAAGAGGGCCCCAAGACGCCCAAGAGCGCCCC